GAACGCCTTCGCTCGCCAAATCGATCGATTCGAATCTCGACATTGTTCACGATAGTTCGCTTCGGATTCCCCAACTCAACGTTTGTCAGATGCAGTAGTATAGGAGCGATTATCCAACCACGCCGTATATGACAAGACTTTCACGCCAGATCGTCTCGACAATCCAGGCGTACACATACAAGGTCCAAAAGGAGTAAAATAGATGAAAGGTATTATATGTAATCCGCCGTTTCGGATCGAACGCAACCCCCACCACCCAATCTCATTCCAATCATCATCCACTTGTCATTCAAGACCTACTTGTCATCCAACCAGCATCACAAATTTCTCACAAGACAATGGTTGTGGCACTCAAATACAAGCAAACATGGCATCACATCACTTCACAAGATAAGCCTCACAAGTGCAAACGCCGGCATGCAACCCTGACCAAGCAAGGTCTTCCATTGATGCACCGGTGAATCCTTTGAAAATTCAATGAACGCCATCTCATATGCATCCTCACTCAAGCGGCATCATCCACTTCTTGTTTGTGGATCACAGCTCATTCAAGCGGCATGATTTACTTCTCTCTTGATGATCATATCTCATTCAACCGGCATCAATCTCATTCAACCGGCATCAATCTCATTTAACCGGCATCAATCTCTTGTTACTCGAGATCCACCAATCGTACAATCAGTATCACACACTTCTCTTCTCAAGTCGTCACACAACATTGATCGCGGCAGTCAACACAAACACGACCCGCATCACTTCATGGAAAGAGCTCACAAGTATGAACGCCTGAATGGGGTCCAAGTCAGCCAAGACCTTCCTCTTTCGATCGGATAAAACCTTTCAAAATTCATGAAAAGTAATCTCGTACGTCACTCAAGATCGCTCTCACGCTTTCACCTCACCGTCTTTGGCTTTACATCCGTTCAACATTACCGAAGAAGTCCGTCATCATTGGTTGATTTGAAGTGAGGTCGATCAAGCCGGTCAAAGTTTCTTCATTCATGATGTCTCTGCGCTCGTATTCATCGGGCTCTTACAAGCAAGCACTGGCAGTCTCTAGAGAACAAGAGACTCGTGCAGAAGGAGGAAGGGCACAAGGTGGGGAGGAAGGGAAGGTGGGGAGGAAGGGAAGGTGGGGAGGAAGGGAAGGTGGGGAGGAAGGGCGGAAGGTGGGGAGGAAGGTAGAAGCGCAAGACCTAAGGCAAGATTCCACATGAGGTTCTTCAAGAGTCACTGGAGCAGTCTCAACAGAGGAAATGGTGCAAGTCGCAACAGAAGAAATGGTGCAAGTCGCAACAGAAGAAATAACTGTCATTCAGGATCCAGTTGTCATTCAGTCACCATCAATTTCTCACAAGACAATGATTGTGGCACTCAAATACAAGCAAACATAGCATCACTTCACTTCACAAGAAAAGCCTCACAAGTGCAAACGCCAGCATGCAAACTAGCCAACCAAGATCTTCTTTGACGCTCCGGGAAAGACTTTGAAAAATTCAACGAACGCCATCTCATATGCGTCCTCACTCAACCGGCATCATCCAATCCTGATTCATAGATCACAGCTCATTCAAGCGGCATCGTTCTCTTCTTGTTCGAAGGCCACCAATCGTACAATCAGTATCACACACTTCTCTTTTCAAGTCGTCACACACCATTGATCGCGGCAATCAACACGAATATAGAAAAGAGCTCACTCACAAGTACAAACGCCTGAATGGGGCCCAAATCAAACAAATGTTTCCTCGGACGATTCGAGAAAGTCTTTGGAAGATCCGAGGAGAGCAGTCGAGTACATCGCTTTTCCCTTTGCCGATGCACACAAGATCAAAGTTCGCACGCATTTACCGAACAATCGATACGTCATCAGCCGGAATGGTGCACTTGCCATCGCCATTACTCAACGGTTCCAGAATTCAATTCACAAACAACTTTCACGGTAAAGATGGCATTACTTGATCATCAATCAAAATGGCGACTTGATCACTCATGCAACATCTTACACGACACTTGCTTTCTCATCCTTACGCTACCCTTTCTTGGGATCAAAGAACTTGTTCTTTGCTATTCTCACTCCTCCGCACACTCCTCCTCGCACTCCTCCTCTCACACATCCTGAAGCGACATTTCGCTTTGCAACTGCATTAAAAAAGAAGATCAGAAAAAAGAAAAAGAAAAGGAAGATCAAAAGAATAAAGATAAAAGAAAAGAAAAGAAAAGATCAAAAACAAAATCAAAAGAAAAATCACAAAAAAAACAAAGAAAAGATCTACTTCTCATTTGAGAATCACTTCATATCCAGCCAGCATTACCTACTTCTCATTCCATACTATCTCTATCACCAACACTCACTTCTCATCCCGCAACCGTCATCCACTTCACATCCTGCAATCGTCATCCACTTCACATCCCGCAATCGTCATCCACCTCTCATCCCGCAATCATCATCCACTTCTCATTTCGTCATCATCAACCTCTTATCATTCAACATCCATTTGACATTCAAGGCCTACTTGTCATTCAAAATCCACTTATCATTCAGTCAGCATCACAAATTTCTCACAAGACAATGATTGTGGCACTCAAATACAAGCAAACATGGCATCAATTCACTTCACAAAAAAAAGCCTCACAAGTGCAAACGCCAGCATATAACCTAGCCAGCCAAGGTCTTCCGTTAATACTCGCCGTCTCATATGTGTCCTCGCTCAACTAGTATCACCCACTTCTCGTTTGTGGATTCATCCTCTTCTTATTCGAGATCTACCTATCGTACAATCAGCATCACACAATTCTCCCACAAACGACTAAATGGGGCCCAAATTAACAAAGTGTTTCTCCGATCAATTCGAGAAAACCTTCGAAAGATCAAGGAGAGCAGTCGAATACATCGCTTTTCCCTTTGCCGATACACGCAAGATCGAAATTCGAACGTATCATCCGAACAAGTGAAACATCAGCCGGAATGGCGCACTTGCCATCACCATTACTCAAGTCTTCCGACACCGTCACAGCAGCATCACATTCACTCAACGGTTCTAAACTTCACTTCACAAACAACTTTCATGGTCAAGAGGGCATTACTTGATCATCAATCATAATGGCGACTTGATCACTCTTACAACATCTTACACGACAATTACTTTCTCATCCTTACGCTATCCTCTCTTGGGATCAAAGAACTCGTTCTTTACTATTCTCACTCCTCCTCGCACTCTTCTTCACACTCCTCCTCACACTCCTCCTCGCACACATCCTGAAGCGACATTTCGCTTTGCAACTGCATCAAAAAAAAGAAGATCAGAAAAATAAAAGAAGATCAAAAAAATACAAAGCAGATCAAAAAAAAAGTAAAAGATAAAAAAGATCAAAAGGTAAAAAAAAAAAA